ACCTCCCAGTGAACTGCTGAGTGGAATTGTAGAGTATCTCCAGTTTGAAGGGACCATAAGTCCAGCTCCCTGCTCCTTGTGCCTAAGACAAGGTCATACAAATAGGACTTTTCTGAACAGACAGAACATATCAGGTAAGAATTTTGCTTGTAAAAGTTGTATTCAGGCTAAAGAAGCAAATGCAAACGAAGTGCTTAGAGCCATTGGGACCTGATCTGCAGAAGTCAGTGGGAAGCTGCTGACATCCTTGTTGGAAACCATCTGTGTTACTGCTCTCTGCTGTGCCCTGTGCTATTTTTTCATGAGTCCCCTCAAAGTTCAAGAGGGATCTTAAAGTATTTACTGGTATAACAATACACTATGTTGTTACCTGAAAATTACTCACCCCCTGCCTCCTTCCAATGTTTGCTTGTGAATTTAAGTAATTAGGTTTGTATCTCTCTGAGAATCCCTGGCTCTGGGCTGCATTTCTCTCCCAGCTTTTCACAAGGTGTGGCTCTTTGTTCCCTCTCTTGCTTTTACCCATCCCATTACAAAGGAAGCAACATGTTATGAAGGTATCAGTCATTTTCTTCAGGATGAAAAGGCCTTTCTGTATTAATCTGTTAAAGGTGCTGGTAAAGACTAAGCAGGTTTGAGACTGTCAAGAACCTTCTGTTTTCTTTATTAGCTTTTGCTTTCTTAAGGGCAAGGCTACCAGCAGGAAGTCCCAGAGGTGGGCAAGGAGCAGCTCTGCTGTATGACTGACACTTCATGTATCCCTGCCATCATCCATGGACACTTTATATTGCACAGCCAGGTGCTGAATGATAGGCACTTTATAAAGGTGAAGTCTTGACCTCAGGCTCCCTTGTAGCCTGTGTAGGCTGAATTCAGATTGTCCGGGAAAGAGTCAGAGGAAGAATCTGAAGACTTCACCTTATCAGATTTTAGCTATCACTACAGTTGTAGTACTTGAAACCTGACTTTTTTCTTCAAGTATGTGTAAAGGAGAGAATCAATCTGTTGTCAAAGACATTTTTGAGCAGAGGCAATAAAAATAACTTCCATAAATGAAAATGTTTTAGAGAACTCTTGAGTGATACTCAAATAACTTTTAGAAGAAGCACTGCTGTCTGACCAGGGAATAAGGAAAGGAAACAGGAATAAGCAGAGGGTTTTGATGCAACTGATGCTTTATTCATATCTTAATTCTTATTTGGGTGTATATCCAGGCAAGGCTTACATCCTGATACTTTGCAGTGAGCTCTGCAGTGAAAGCCGGGGATCTTACATCAAATAATACATACCAATTCTGTCACTACAGATTTTTTTTTTTTCAAATAAGTTAGTTCTTTCCTTGTAGTTTTTACTTTGAACTCATGCATTTGTCTATAATCTTTGTGAACTTGGCTATACCTGGGGCAGCTACAGTTTAATAGTACCCTGTGCTATAATCCTCAGTTTTTCCTGTAGACAGCTTATCAAATGTGCAGAATTGTACCAGAGCTCTGATCATCTGGCTAAGGGGATTAATGTCACCTAATGCAGTGTGTTGGTACTAAAAAGATTATAAGGAGGCTGAGTCAGTGAGTTGGGGGAGGAGAGGTGTAAAACCCCTCAGGAAATCAGTAATCATCTCAATTTGCAGTTTTTGTAGCTAATGTACTATGTGCAACAACAAAAATTTCTGTTTTCTGGAGTTGTGGGCTGTACTTGCTGTTGAAGTGTCAAAGAGGATGCTTGTTAGGGACCTGCTGCTGAGGAGAAGCAACTACAATCAAGCAACACTTTGTGCTGAAATCTTGTCTTGTATTTCATCTTCTTAAACCAAGTCCATAAATATTTGTGGTATTTAAAATGCACATGTAGTGTTTCCGGTAGTTTGTTTAGCCTTGCTAAGCATATAGGGATGCTAAACATTAACTGGGTGCTACGTAACTGTGGATATAATTAACTTCATTTAGTCAAGACAGTAAAAGCATACTCTGTGTGCATTATGTAGCTGATAAATGCATTTTTATAGAGACATTCCCTTGACTTGCCAAATAATGGGTCACTAATGGCAAAGTTCACTTAAAATCTGAAACCACGCCTACACTGCAGGCACGGAAGTGAGCACAGGCTGCATTAGCCTGGTTGACATGTCCCAGCTAAACTGCACTAGAACAAGCTTGAGCATCTCTGCCACATTCTGGTCAAGTCTGAAGTGTCTGTAGACAAGCTGCTAGTTTAAAGTACACAGTCAGAGATGCTGTTCACATTTTGTCTTTTTTCCTTCCCAGGCTCTTTTAAGCATATTTGAAAACAGGGTGCTTCTTAGATATTTCTATTGCTATGTAACTGAAAAGTAATTGAACATAAGTTGAAATTCCAAGAGATGTGTATGTCTGAGAAGGCTGTTAGCAGGTATGTGCAGCACTTTGCTGTGAAGAAGTAATTGCAAGAGGGGACTGCCAAAAGTATATAGTCCTGTGTACTGGAGGTGCCCCTGGGGCTGGTTGTATGAGAGAAAAGTTAAAATTTTGTGTAGATGATACTCAGAGCTGATTTATAATTAAAAATCAACACCTTTTGTGCTCCATAGGTTGGTGTGTTGGGGTTTTGTGTTGGTAATTTAACTGGGCCTCTACAGTGCCGAGTGGTGTTTTCACTGCCAGGAGTGCTTAATAGATTTATCCAATGGTATTAAGTAAATTTTATGGTTTAGTCAACTTTTTCCTGTATTTGGCTTTTAGGAGCAAGACAGCTGCTAGACTTCTCAGGTGGTTTAGTTCATATGTGAAGTTTGAGCTTAGCAAGTTTCTTTTTCCCCAAATTACTCGTCAAGTTATTTTAAGAGTTATTTACTAAAACAGCACCTATTTAGGTATTTACTAAACAAAAGCAAGGCCATAAAGCATAATGATGAACAAGATAACTCTGCTTTTTTTTGATCAGCAGTGATCCAGATGGGTGTATTAAACAGCTATTTAAGTTGCTCTCACAGGATGTAAACTCTGAAAAAAAATGCCATGCAAAAAACCTGTCTCCTGTATTCCCTAAGCTCCCTATTCTCCCCTTATTTTAATAGTAAAGCTTTTAGATTTAAGTTACTTTTTTTTTTTTTTTTTGAGTGGTATGTGGCTGACTTGAGATGTGGAAAAGTTTTGTCTAAAGCTTTATTTAAGGAAATACAAAATAATTTGGATCTTTAACTAAAACTGATGGTGAAAGGAATTAGAGTTGTTTGTACAGATGGAGTTAGAATGGAAATATTTAATCTACATGTAGGTATTTCCAAAATACCTCATATGATTTGGTAACCTGATCTACCTTTTCCATGACAAAAGGGCATTTTGGATGTCTTATCCAATTTACAAACCTAATCCTGAGTATTTTTCCACTTTTTCCTGGTTTAGACTGGTTCAACTCTGAATACCATGAATTTTTATTGACTTGAAACTGATACAAAATGAGAAAAGAATCAGGTTAAAATAAATCTGCCAGTAAATCTGATAAGGATTTTCAGGTATCATGGAGTCAGGCTTTTGTTTTTGAGCTGGAATGGAATAACATCATCACTGAGGTCAGTGTTGCACCAGCACATAAGACATATGTGAGATCAGGAAGTGGCCTTGTGCTTTCTGATATGACGTGTCAGAGGTTGTAAAGATGGCTTAGCAAACCAGGGAGGTCATCTGGAGGAGGGAATAGAATTATTAAGGTTGGAAAAGTCCTTCAAGATAATTCTATCTGACAGGTCCACCACAAGTCCTTCAGTGCTGCATCGACACTTTTAAATATCACTGGGGATTGTGACTCCACCACTTCCCTGGGCAGCCTGTTTCAATACTGGTCAACCTTAATTTTTTCCTCACATCCAATCTAAACCTCCTGGCACAACTTGAAGCCGTTTCCTCTTGTTCTTATTGTCTTTTACCTGGGGCAAGGCACCCCTGCTTCAGTACCATCTCCTTTGTGGTGGCTGTAGAGGGTGATTAGGTGTGTACCCCTTACTCTTTTTCTCCAGGCTGAACAATCAGAGCTGCCACAGCTGCTCCTCATAAGAGTTGTGCTCCAGACCCTTCCCCAGCTCCGTTGCCCTTTTCTGCACATGCTCCAGCATCTCAATTTTTTCTCCTGAATCGAAGGACCCAAAACTGAATTCAAGGTGTGGCCCCACCAGTACTGAGTACAGGGGGATGGTCACTGCCCTTCTCCTGCTGGTGGCATTGCTGATCCAGGCCAGGATGTCATTTGCCTTCTTGGCCACCTGGGCAACTGCATCATGTTCAGCTGATGTCACCAACACCCCAGGTCCTTTTCTGCCAGGCAGCTTCTCTGCCAGTAGTGCTGCTTGGGGTTGGATCCAGCACTTGACCTTGTTGAACCTCATACAACTGCCCTTGGTCCATCGATCTAACCTGTCCAGATCCCTCTGCAGGGCCTTGCTGTCCTCCAGCTGATCAATATCCTCACCCAGCTTTGTGTTGTGTGCAAACTGACTTAGGGTGTGCTCAATCCCTTCAGTGAGATCATTGATAAAGATTTAAACAGAACTGGTTTAATAATAAAATAACCCTGCAGTATCTCTTGCAAACCTTGGAAAATGTCTCTGAATGTATTTGTGGTCTTTCTCCTTCTGGATGGTGATGACAGGAGGCAGGGAAGCCTGCATTGTTGATCTGTAAACTGTCATAGTTGAAGAGGAAACTCACGTCGATGTTCCCAATATAACACCACCAGTGTTATGCCAGTTAGGAGGGGCTGGGTAAGGAAAACAAAGTTTTGAAACCTTTAATATAGATTGGGTCTCATTTGCATCAACTATCCACAAGTAGGTAAATGTGAAACTGTTTTTAAGGCTATTTTTTTTCTTCTGAAATAGTTTGGCATGGGTTCTGAAGCTTAGTTGTTGAATAAAGGAACTTCCCAGCAACTGCCTTTGATTACTTCTAAATGTAGGTTACAGCTGTTCTTTTGGGAAAGGCACATAGCTCAGCATGTGAGAAACTGACACCTTTTTCTCTCCTTTTCAGAGTATCTCCTCTACAGAAGTCTGAAATAGTAGACATGGTCAAGAAACACGTCAATGCCATAACACTTGCCATTGGGGATGGTGCCAATGACGTAGGAATGATCCAGACAGCTCACGTTGGAGTGGGGATCAGTGGCAATGAGGGCATGCAGGCAACCAATTGCTCGGATTATGCCATTGCACAGGTCAGACGCAAGATTGAACAACTGCAGTATCATCTCGTGAGAAATGCACTGTGCAGCCATGTAGCGCTCGATTGACTTCTTCTAGCCTTCAAGCTAGAAGTATCTCTGATTGTTTCCTTTTCCAGGCAGCTGTCTAGAACATATTTTGGATATATTTTGGGGGTTTGTTGAGATTTTGTATTCTCCAGGGCAAAGCTCTACCTCTCTTCAAAGTTTTAGTTTCCTCCTGACGCTGTACAGTATCTTGGTTCTTCAGTAATCAAGGGGAAGCAATTTCTGTGATGCTTGTGTAAATATGCTTTTAAGTAGCTGATTTGCCTTGGTGCAAACTCCTCTCTTACTATGAGCAGGTACTATAACCAGGAGTGTGAGAATTTGGCTGTTTGGCAGTTCCTAATTTGAGGTGTCTCCTCTATCTTTATTTCCTTCTGTCCCCTGTGTTACATTCAAGAATTGATCAGATCATTCTAGAGAGCTGGCCAGAATTTTCATTTTTCATGTTATTTTGAACATTATTTGGGTGAAGTGCTCCTAAACGAGTTCATCAAATTCAGAACCAATCACTTCAGCTAAAAAGAAGAGTTAAAAGCCTTTTTTGTTTGTTTGTTTTGCTGAAGAAACCACAATTTAGAAACAAGACTTTGAAAGAAAAATCAGAAAGGAAAAAGATGCTGCAAAAGATTGCTGAATATGCTCTGGATACTATTTACACCTGAGATACACTATGTGTTTGAGACTGATGCAGGGCAAAACCAGATTGAGCTGACAGGAAGCAGAGACAATCCCTTGTCTCTTCAGTGATTAGAGCTTCAGCTGATGTTCCCTTCTGGCAGGGTGTAGTCAGATTTGTTTTACCAAGTAACATGAAATATTATGAATGAAAGATGAAAACATCTTTTGATAGGTTCCAGTGGCAGGTGAGGTTTTGAAAGGGCAGGGATAATGCTGCTGTATGCACAGATAACTGTTTATTGAATTAAACCTACTGAGAAGCAAAGTGGCTCTCTTGTACTGCTGCTCTGTTCTGACCTCTGATGAAGAACACTCAGTTTCAGGTTTGAATAACTGAGACCTTTCACCGTTTTGAGAATTTTAGGCAGCTTTACCATGTTTTTCTGTCATAAACAGTAGCATATTCCAAATATGTATCAGTATAGGAACTGCCATAGTCATTGTCTCTGGTATTTTGTAATGAGTTTCACATTTTTAATTTCAGCGGATCATATATAGCTTCTGCTGTATAACTTAATGGAATGCTCTTTACTTGGACTTCTTCAGATAATTTATTACTTCTGCTTTAGTAACTAAGCCTAAGCAGCAAGAGTTTTGTCCATAGAAGGCCCTACATATGTAATTCCTTTTGTGTTGCAGTAGCGTTAAATCTGGATAAGGAATTCCACGTTCACATGTTGCTTGTGCATTAACAAAACCCCCTGTATTTCACTTTAGTGTTAGAACATGGAAGTTGCTCTTGGTTTAAATTCCAGTCAACAAGGACAGTATTACTGGCAATTACAATGAATCTTTTTAGTTCAATTTGAAATAAAAGCTGGTGACATTGGCACAGAAATACAGTGTTCAAAAATCAGTGAAACACCATAGAACTGTATTTTTTGTGATAGTGTGGAAGAACTTTGTACTGATTAAGTTAGAAAACATACAGAAAAATCCCTGTAGTAGAGGAGACTAATACTGTGTGGTAGTATGTGCTTAAAAAAAAAGTAAATTAGTGTTCAAAAGAAAAACTTGATCTCTGTGGAGTGTATTTCTTTCAGCAAAGACATATAACTCCCACTAAAACATTACTGTATGTGCATGCCTTGAAGGCAGAGTATGTTCTTATTGAGTAATTTAAGACGACCACTGTAATGTAGCATCTCATGTTCAAGTGCTATTTCAAATGCAGTGCTGCCAGAAGTAGGCACTTAGAGAAGAGAGAGTCTCTATATAGGCTCATTTGGGATTCCAGGGAGAATCAAAGCATAAACCAAACAAAAATAAAAAGCCAACGTGTGTCTGACTCCACTTGAAATAGCTTCCACAGGTGCAAGGAGCATCTGTTTGAATCATCCTTTTCCCTTGAAATTATATTGCACCAGTGACTTCTATTTAGAGAATTCCCAAATCAAATGACCTAACTAGAGAGACAGTAGTAGACTTTAATAACTTTTTTTTTGCTCAGCAAAATAGCTTTATCATCTTAATTCAGAGAGCATCTGGTGTCTAGGGACTGTTTCCTTTTCTTAATTAAGGAATCTTCTTTCTTCAACAAATGTTCTTGTTTCAGTTTTCTTCTTTGGAAAAACTGGTTTGTTTTGTGGGTGCCTTTTCACTGTATTAAAACCCTCCCAACATGCCATCACCTCATCCTTTAATCAAGATGAAATCTAGAAGATAATCTCAGTGTAAAAGAAGTTATGCTAGGGTTGATGTAGAGATGACTGTAAAAACTTACACAGACTGTTCACAGGTAGGCTGGCCAGATGGTGATAATGTTCCCTGCTGAGTCAAAATGCTGTAAATACAGGAACATCCAAACAAAGACAGCGTCTCAGTAGAGCCCCTGTCTGTCCTGCTCTGTGCCAGTAGCTGTGCTTTTGCAGAATACCAGCATCAAAGCAAATTTAATTCTTTGCTATATTCTAATTTGCTAATATTATATAATTTGCTAATATTATATTCTTTGCTTTTGCTGGTGTGAGCAGGCTCAGTGTGTTCTTTAGGCTCTGAGTATCTTCCTTGCTGTGCTCTGTAGTGTGCTCATTTTCATGAGAGCACAGACAAGAACAATTAATAGTAGGATTTTTTGTTGCCTTGAGCTTTCAAGAAGACCACATCCAAGATGGTCACTTGTTAGATTCAGCAGAGAGAAGTTCTCACTTTGTGCCTGACTGTTCTCCACAAGAGCTTTGGTATAACTTGTAAGGACATTGTGGCAAGTTTCCCATCAGTTTGGTGTTTTCAAAGTGATTTTGATGAGGAAAGTTGTAGCTCTCCTGCATATTAACTTGAGGCATGAGGGGTCTAACAGGTCAGCTACTCCCTTGGGAGTATCCCAGTTATAGCTCTAGCTCAAGTTAAGCACTTCACTTTGGTTTTCTCTCCTTCTCTGCTGGCATATCCTAACAAATCTGAACTGCTGATGCATGGGAGAGAGGCTGTCCTTACAGGATTTGTGGTTCAGTGATTTAATTGCTGGAAAGCATGGGAGCAGAGCTGCCTCACGACAGTTCTAACTCATTACTGTAGCTTTCCGTTTCAAATAAGTTTTGGTTAAAATAAATTATCTAGAATCGAAATTTAGGAAGTCAGGGTTTTCCTGTCAAGTCATTTTGTGGAAAAGGAAGCAAAGCAAATAATTACCTTAGTGTCCCAAGGTCCCTTCAGGTATACACATGCTAAACAGTAAACACAGTCATCACTTTGAGCTGTGGGTAACTGGGCAAAAGAGGAATGCTGCAGGTCATAAAAAGGTTCACTAACAAAGCCAAGACTAGAAAATTAGGCATTTCCCAGTCTGGATTACAACTGGCTCTATAATAAAGTCCATTTTCAAAAGTTCTGAATTTGAGCTCCATATGGGGTTCAAAATAGCATTAAAAGGTACACAGTTATAAAAGATTTATTTACTTGCCATTTTTGGAAAATACACCTTGCTTTATACAATATTTTACATGACACACAATCACATACATTTTGTGGGCAGAAAATATTGAAAATGTGATTTATTTTGTTTCCTTGAATTCAGGTGTTTACTTTCAACCAATTTTTTTAGCAATTCCTCATATATGTAAATACTTCTTTTCTGCTTTCAGTTTTCCTACTTGGAGAAGTTGTTGTTGGTCCATGGTGCTTGGAGTTACAATCGAGTTACCAAATGCATACTGTACTGCTTCTACAAAAACGTGGTTTTGTATATTATTGAGGTAAGAGTAACTAAATGGATGTGTCTTACTGGTGCTTATTCCTTAAATCATCTCTTATAACTAGAAAAGCTCACCCAAATGGATTGAGCAAGAGGACTAATGTTTAACAATTTAAAATTCAATTTCCCTCCTCAAATCAGTTCACTTGAATCTTTTAATGTTTGTAAAGGAAGACCAAAGGTTTTCAGTACTGTGAAGGATATGAGATGTTAGAGACAAAGTTAATTCCTTCTGTGCAAATACTCTTATTCAAAGCATCTTTGTCATGGAAAAATTTCAGTTAGTGCTTATATTTATAAAAACTTGAATCTGGGGGCTAAATTTAAATCAGAAGTTCATTTGTTAGAATTTAATAGGCAAATAATAAACTATGCAAAACAATAGTTATTGCTTCCAAGTTACAAAGACCATGGATTAGCTGGAACTGAAATTAGTTTGCTTTGTTTTTTGGGAAGAGATGACATAATTTTCTACATTACGTTCATTTACAAAATGAATCTGGTTATTTGATTTAATAATTAAAACATAAGTGTATTTTGAAAATAAATTGCTGGAAGATGTCAAGTACTGCAACTGGTCTTTAAAGAGAGCTGAATACTGTTACTACCATTCCATTTCAGTGTGCTTATGATAGGAGTGTGTTCTCAAGCTGCAGAACATAGTCTGGAGTTTAGGATGTATCAGGAAGGGATTTTTATCATGTGCTGTTGCCTAATGAGAGATACTCAAGGAACTTGAAGTCAGTGGTTTGATCAGTTGAGTATCAAGTGATCACTTGGTACAGCAATTTCTACAATGTTCATAATTTTTGTTAATGTATGTGCATATATTTTAGATTTTCTATTTCTTTGTACAGTTGAGCAGGCTTGAATGAGGTTAACAGAAAATTGCAACATCTATAATTAGGCAGGTAGTTATATCAATTAGAGGAGATAGTAGGTGAGTAATACTTTGCTATTCAGTAAGTCATATAATGATCAGAGCGGTCAGTATTCCTGACTCCATCAGGGTTTGATCATCTTCCTTGTATGATGTTAGAGAACAAATATTGTCCAGTAGCTTGTTCCACTTTTACTGTGCTGTTTAAGAATTAGCTGCTATCTGTTAAAATTTCAATACTCATTAGTCCACTGCAAGAAAATTACCCTGTACATCATGTTTTTAGTAAAGGTTTTTACATGCTGTTGGAGATGATAACAATATTTTATATTGTGCAAAGGAAATATAAATGGCTTTAAAAAGAACTCTTCTAGTGTATTTCTTACTGAGCGTGGTTGGCCATTGCTGGGGTTTTGCCTGAACTTTTCAGAACATGCTTAATACCTTCATGATTTCCTGCTAGGATTCTTTTATCTACTTGAAACTTGAAAGTTTTGGAAGTCCTGCTTCTAGCTTATTATAGCACCATGTGTCTTTGTTTCTTTTACTATGGTCTGACAAGTAAATTAAGTTCTGCATCAAATGTTGTATGGCAAAACTATGCCTTCCCACATAAGCAGCTGTGCAAGGGATTGAATACAAGTGAAGTTCTCTGGGACCTCCATCCTGAGGTAGCTCAATTATTTTACCCTAGGGTGGAATTTTACTGTCCAGATATCTCTGTATGATACATTAAGTTCAAGTCTACTCTGAAAATATGAGATCAGAGGTTTTCTCGACTGTCTTCAGTTCTTTCTGCATACTGTCCTGAGCCAGATGAGCTTTTGTGTCTCCTCATGTCCATGACTGAGGATGAGTCAGTTCTATCCAACCCCTGAGCATTGAAAAATGTCTTACAAGATGCAGCACCTCAGTTACCTCTCTGTGATTGTGCTGCATAGAAGTTGGAAGCAAGTTTAAGGCTTTAACGGAGATGAAGGGACAGAAATAATCTTGTAGTCCTGCAGCAATGGGAAGAACTCAGTTTGGTTTTCCCTGGTAAGTTTCCTTTACTAGCAGCCTTAGGGAACTTCCCCTCCAAAACTGTGTGGAACTAGCCAAATTGCCTGGAAACCCAAGAGACACTAGTTTTGGTATCCTAGGGATACAGGGTAGAGAAAAGAGATCTTTAATTCCCTCCTTAGCTTTACACAAAGAGAGGTTGTTTTGTGTATGTGCTGTGAAGCTTGGCAGTGCTGATCAGTTTGTGGTATGGAATGATGCTCATGAAAGAGATGCTCCACGAGGGAATAAATCCTTCCACTTGAGAGAATAACAGTTAAATGCCTGGCACTTCTGCACTGTTGCTTGTGTATATGGTGTGTTCCTGGTTGTTTCCCAATGCTTTGGACAAGTTTAATATTTACCCATACTTTCTGCTTGGATATGTGGTATATGGGGAATATCTTTTTAGCATTGTAATGAAACAGGGATTTGAACTTGAGCTACTTTCTAAGTACCTTCAGAAGGATTGTACGAAGTAAATATTTATACAGTTGAATGAAAAAGCACATCATGAATATGACTGCCGGTTATACCTTTGTTACTGTATCTGTTCTATTTCAGTGAAGTTTTAACACCTGAGGAATAGATACAGTAAGCCTTATATAAATGGCTTTTTCAGCAGAGAGACACTGGGGCTATCGCAACTTTTTATTCCCTGGTATTTTGCAAATGCCAGAGAGAAGGAAGAGGTGGTGGTCCAGCCTGGCACACAGAACATCTGGACAGAACTTGCAGAGGACTTGCAGAGAACTTGCATGCAAGTTAAGGCATTAAGAATTAATTAATCAATGGTAAATGCTTGAGAAGAGCATATTGTCATCTAATATAGAATTTGGGGTTTAGTGAAAAGTATGCTCAGGTAATTGTCATCATGGGCTTTACTCCTAGGAGGTGCTGGGGGATTAAGGCTGGTGCTTACCTTTCTGCTGTGGCTGATTCTTTGTGGAGAGACAGCGACCCAGGAACTATTTTCAGCTGCTTTGATTGAAATGTGTGCCCATGTTGAGATAGCTCCATGCAGCTAGAGAGGTGGTATAGCAGACAGCATGCCTTGTGGTTTAGTGATTGCAGTGTCAAGGGAGATGCAAATGTATTTTCTCTCTCTCTCTTGAAAAGGCCCTCCTAGTATTTTCCAAGAGGTGAATTTTAAGTCATCAAAGTAATAAAGTTTAGTGAAATCTGAAAAGATTTTGTTTTGGCTTAATGACTAGAAACTCTGTTCCTCTCCTTTCTCTAGCCTGGTCTCTCTCAACTTTACTATTTCTTCATCACTGTCCTCCTGCCATTCTCTTGATATCTCCCCTTGATTTTTGAAGATACAAAGCTAAGTAAATAAAAAACACAAAGAGAAGCAGATTCTGGATATTCAAGTCGTTTTGGTGTGATTCTTAGCCCGATTCCTGAACCCTTGTATATGACTGTTGCCAAGGTGCTTCAGGGTATAAAGTTGAGGTTCCTTTACTTATGGCCTCACCTCTCAAAAGGATGCAGAATCTAGCTTTTCCATCCACAGAGCTGGTTGACAGATTAATTGCTGCTTCTTCCCCACTCTTGACTATCCATGCTGGGTCTGTCCTAAGAGTGGGAGGGGAATCTACATGGAAAGCTACCAAGATGGCTGCAGGGATGACATGCAAATATAAAGCCTTCTCTTTGGTGTCCATTCCTGTATTTCCTATGTCTGCATGCTCTAGCAGTGTGCACTAAATCCATTTCTAAGGAAAGCAAACCACTCAGCATTATCCTAGGCAGAAGATCAGTGACACGGTTTTGGCTTTTAAAGATTTGACAGACAAGTACCTGAGCACACTCACAAAATACCATTTAGTTCAATTACCTATGTAGCTGGCTTCAAACTGAGTAGTGAAACAAAAGAACTATTTCACATCTGTTGAGCAGGTATGTTTAACTGGAGATGATATAAAGTTGTCCTATTGACATCAGAGCTTTGAAATATAGCTTATTTCAAATGTAAAAGAATACAGGAATGTTGCTTTCATGTCATGCTTGGAGAAGTAGAAACACAGCAAGATCAAAGGTGGTATCAGAAATATCAGGTAAGGGTTCAAGACCTTTGGGAATGGTTCTGTGGAAACAGTAGCATGGAAGATAGCTTTCAGGCCAACTCAGTGTGCAGGAAGAATGTGCTCAGTACTTCACTGGAACACGCTGGTTTTTTGAAACATACTTAATACGAAGCACTTCTGTATTATGTATTGCTGAATGAGTCAGGGGCAGGAATAGATGGCCCCAGTGTCAAGGTCTGGCAAGTGGGAAGGGGAGAGTATAATGTACATAACTTGGTTGCTGTATAATTTTAATTTCTACTTTAAGAATCCAGAGATAAATTGTAAGCCTAGATTAGAAAGTTGTTTCTTTGTAGATGCCAAATGGGAGGTCTAACATGTGAGCAGCATTAAACGAACAAGATAAACATACTAAACAACAAAACACAAAGATCATAATTTTTCTTCTAGAGCTGAATTTCCAAGTTTCAAAAGCTCTGAGTAAACACAATACCTAGATAAACATTCTTTTAAATAAGAGGTGATTTTGTGAGTCAGTAAGGTCTGGCAATGAGAGCTGTTAAGTGCTCCACATACTCTTAGTGCTCACCACTTCAGATGAGCTGATAGCACAGGCTGCCAAAGCACACATGAAATGTTGCTGCATGAGACTGCTTTTGTTTTACCTGTTTTCTTGCTTTCCCATCAAACACAATAGGTATTTTAAAAAATATGGAAAGCAGGCATGGGAATTTCAACTCTCTTCTCTAAATGATAGGCAGAAATGAGTGTATTTGTTATGGCACTAAAAAATACACAGCTTTAATTCATCTGTGTATTTATCCCTAATTCACATGATCTGACTTTCACCTACATCTCTCTGCTTTCTGTTTCCAATTGACTTTGCCACTCTTAGGTGGCAAAGGCCAGGCCAGGCAATAGAAAACCTTACGCATGGGGATTTTTGCAGTAAGTTTGGGACTGAAGTGCTGTAACTGTTGTCATATAAAGCAACTTTATGAAAAAATAAGAGCAGTCTTTCCCCCCAGTGTTAAATTAAGGATAAGAACA